GGGTGGGCCGGGACAAGACATCGGTTCATTTACCGGCCGGCCCGGTATCTCCAATCAATCGGTGTCAGCGGCCGCCATCTTCACTCACTCCACTTTGGGCCGCGACGCGTAGACGTCCGCGCCGGGCCCGGAGTTGTAGTAGTAGGCCGCGGCCAGCTCTGGAACCACGGAAAAACACACACGCAGACTGAGCGGGGCGGGGATAAGCGAGCAGGTGTGAGGTAACCCGCAGACCTGTTATCGGCGAGCACCTTCCTGGCCTGCCTAATACAAGCCACAAGTTCAGGGGATGTAAAAATAATAAACTCTGTCCGGGCCGGCCGCGGGCGCGGGCAGAGCCAAGGCAGAGCCTCGCGGACCTCACTGCGGACTCACCGTGTGGCGACGGGCTGCTGGGCGGGTCCCATCTGAGACTCTGGCGACGCTTCCCACTAGCGAAGGCCGAGCGCATGCTCTGCATGGGCAGCTCCACGAGCAAAGTGATGAGCGTGCTCAGCGCCAGCACGATCAGCAGCTCCCACAAGTCCAGCTAAAAATGAGAAAATTGGGCATCAGGGTGGTGTAAGAAGCGCGCAATCCCAAAAAGGAGAGTTCACAAAATAAAATACAAAAAAATACACGAGTAGTATCGGACTAGTATCTAGACACGTTTTTTGTGTAAATGTGTGTGTGTCTGAGCGCGCGCGCGCGCAGTTGGGTGGTGCGGGCGCCTCGGGCGCCACCATATCAGCCTTACCGCCGCCAGCACGCTGAACTCCCGCTGTGACCGCACCGACCCCGCGTTGTAGAAGAAGACGAGGAACTGGGTGAGGTAGAAGGCGTACGAGATCCTGCTCAGCAGCACGAGCGGTCGCGCGCACAGGACTCTATCTAGCAGGCCTGCGCGGGGTGAAGACCATAGTCAGATGCCTGCTTCGCAACGATGAGAAAGAGAGAGAGAGAGAGGCCAGGCCGGCACTACTCACCGCCGTTGTTGGTGTAGCAGGCGAAGATGAGCCAGGACACGGCGGCCGCCCAGGCCAACGGCGCTAGCGCGTTGAAGCGCGCCGCCTCGTCCACGTTGAAGCGGTAGTCCAGCCGGGCCACGTTCCTCTGGCTGAACAGCGCCCAGCCCGCCAACGCCGCGCTCACCGCCCAGCCCGCCAGCAGCACCACCTGTAGAGGTATTAGGCGAGTAGGCAACCCATGTAGCAGGGCTGCTGGTCACCAACCCGCACCTGCCGGCTCGCATACACTCACCTTGGGGATGTGCAGCTTGCGCGGCACCCGGTGCAGTAGGTAGCCTAGGGCCACGCCGATGACGTAGGCGGAGGCGCGGTGGCCCGCCTGCACGTACGAGGCGTCAGCCGCCCGGTACAGGTCAGAGGGCTTGGCGCCGTTGTAGATGAGCAGGCTGACGTTGTGCTGCACGGCGGCCTGCTGCCGCAGCCAGGTGGACGCGCCCACGAGCGCCACGACCATCGGGGTGGCGAGCGGCCACGCCTTGACGAGCAGCCACACCAGCGGCGGTACCAGCAGCGACAGCTGCATGTCCAGGGCCAGCTGGTGCGTGTGCGGCGCGCACTGCGGCAGCACCGGGTGGTCAGAGATCCGTCAGGGACAGGGAAGCGGGAGGCTGGTCCAAAGGCAGGCCCGAGGGCTGGCCGACAACTCACCATCTGCTCGAAGGGCCACAGGTTGTGCACGTAGAGCAGGTTGCGCCACATGTGCTCTCGGCAGATGCGCGCGTTCTCCTCCACGAGCTGGCCCCACAGGGGGCCCGTGCCGATGTGCTCCAGGACGTAGGCGTACGCCACCGTCACGATGCCCAGGGTGGGCGTGAGGCGCACGACGCGCGTCGCCACCCGGCCGGCCCAGTCCAGCGCGCCGCT